TATCTATCTATATATATATATACATATATATATAATTGATATCAGAGTGGAAGGGAGAGGGAGAGAGAAACATCAATGATGAGACAGAATCATTGATCAGCTGCCTCCTGCACCCCTCTTACTGGGGATCAAGCCCTACTGCGGATGTGCCCTTCACTGGAATTGAACCTGAGACCATTCAGTCCATAGGTCAACACTCTGTCCACTGAGCCAAACTGGTTAGGCCCCACCCTGTATATTCTTTGTTTCTTTTCCCTTCTGAGAAAGCATTTGCAGACTGAAGACAGGAGGAAAGTAACTTGTTTTCCTCATGGTAATTTGTACTGGAAAGTTAAAGCTAATATAGGGCATGTAGGAAATTCAGTTGTGGTAATAAAAGGTGAATTTGGTCACAAAATTAGTTCATGGCCAGGTTAAATTAATTCTTTTTATTAAACATAAAACTATGGGCAGTTGAAATGTAATAAAAATTGATACCTTGATATTTATTGTGCTCTTAAGTTGTAAGGACCTTAAAGGGCTTTGTGAGCTTCTGTTATCTGTCCTTCATTTAAAAATGAGTATCATTTTACCATTTAGGTTAAAAAAAAAATCAGTGGAAATCCCATAGTGCCTAACCTTTGAAATCTTCACATTAGGAGAAAAATTATTATTAAACTATAAATAAATCTTACAGTAAGTTTTGCATAAGTTTTGTTGAGGTATAATTGACGTATAATAAATTTCACATTAATAAAATAATAAAAATGCACATTTTGTAATTTTGACATGTATACACCCATAGAACTATCACGATAATCAATTTAATGAACATTATCTTCACCTCAGAGACAGAACTAAGATAAGAGAGATATATAAAGATTCTATATTAGGATTGGCAACCATTGTCCACCAGCCAAATCTGGTTTACTGTGTATTTTGTAAATAAAGTTGTATTGGAATCCAGCCACCACCTATTGGCTTATGATATCTTTTCTATGGCTGATTTTACAATGCAATGACAGACCTGAGCAACACAGACCATATGGCCCTCAAGCCTGAAGATACTGCTTGTCCTTTAAGAAATTTTCTGTCCTCTGATCTGTATGTTCACTCCAGAACTACATGGGAACCAACTTGTTTTGTTTTTGTTTTTAAATTGAGGCTGGGGTGGGGGTAGGCGGGAGGGGGAGAGAGAGAGAGAGAGAGGGAGAGAGAGAGAGAGAGAGAGAGAGGGAGAGAGAAAGAGAGAGAGGGAGAGAAAGAGAGAAAAAGAGAGAAAGAAGGATCAATTGCATCCCACATGCACCCTGACCGATGATTGAATCTGCAATCTGCAATCTGGGTATGTGCCCTGCCTGGGAATCAAACCCAGCATGGGATGCCACTCCAGCCAACTTAGCCACACCATTCATGAACCAACCGGTTATCTTGAAGAGTATGCATATTGTCAAAATTTATCTGACTATTCTGTCTAATGTCAGATTGTGAGGTTATTTTCAACTTTTGAAAAGACTTTAAAATTTTAGTAACCTTAGTAGTTATTTTTTATATTAAAGTGGTTAAAAGTTATTTTGCCACTTTTTCAAATTTGAAAATGCAGTGTTTTGAGTCTGTGGTGACAACAGATCAAGAATTTATAATTACTTTCTGCATATGACTATAAATTTTTAATATATGATACTCAAAACATGTTTTTTGAGATCATGTAAAAATAAATATTCTGTTGACTAATATCTTTCTCAAATAAGATTTCATGGCAGGAATTGTTTATCTGTAGTTGGGCTTTATTTTAAGTCATGTACTTCTCTAAAATAATGGATTTTGAAATATGCATATTATATTTTCTAATGGATTTTTTCTTTGCTTTTTAAAAATTTTTAAATTTTAATTTTTTTTAGCGAGAGAAGAAGAGAGAGAGAGAGAGAGAGAGAGAGAGAGAGAGAAACATTGAGTTGTTGTTCCACTTATTTGTGCATTCATTGGTTGATTCTTGTATGAGAGAGAGAGAGAGAGAGAGAGAGAGAGAAACATTGATTTGTTGTTCCACTTATTTGTGCATTCATTGGTTGATTCTTGTATGTGCCCTAACCAGGATCAAACCTGCAACCTTAGTGTATTGGGACAATTTTCTAACCAACTGAGCTAGGTGGCCAGGACTCGGATGGATTTCTCTCTAACAAAGTGGTTTCTAAGGAGCAGTTAAATTGAATTTATAGAAAATTGCTTTAATTGCCCACTTCCTCTTAACAATTAGATATTTTTTAGTTTAACATTCAATGAATTTGAGGTGTTAAACTTGTATAAATCTAATTTAGGCCATAAAATATTTAAAAAATGTGCTTCTGTAACAGTACAACCAAAGAGAATGCCCCAAGTTCTTCATTTGTTTATATAGAATTATTTCACTTTTTTTGTTTTATAGATCACTGTTTTTTTCTTTGTGATATAAATTAATTTGCACAAAACAGCAATAGAAAATTAAGTTTACATAGATGTTATGTACTTGGCAACTATAGTGTTTGTGACTCTTCCCTATGTAGTCAGCATCATATTGTGGAATGAGCTCTAAAAGATTAATTCAGGTCTGCTTTTGTTAAATCATAGTATTTTTTGTTAAGATTATGCTGGATTATTTTCATGAGCTCTGCTTCTTTTTAAAGCAGAAATTAAGAAGAAATGTGAACTTGTTAGAGAAGCTTGTCATGCAAGAGACATTGTCATGCTTAGTGGTCAACCTGTACCCAGGAAATGAGGGATATTCTTTGATGCTCAGGGGAAAAAATGGATCAGGTAAGAACCTCCAGAGGGCAGCAGCCACAAAAGTTCCTCTGCCTGGCAGAATGTGCTGTCTTTTTCTTTTAATATATTTTTATTTATTTCAGAGAGGAAGAGAAAGGGAGAGGGAGAGATAGAAACATCAACGAGAGAGAATCATCAACGGGTAGCTTCCGCAGCCCCTTACTGGGGATCAATCCTGGAACCTGGGCATGTACCCTGACCTGGAATTGAACTGTGACCTCCTGGTTCATAGGTTGATGTTCAACCGCTGAGCCATGCCAGCTGGGCAGATGTGCTGTCCTTTAGAAGGATTTTCTTAACCTGGTAAATGGTCTGTCCTTCAGATCAGTGATGACATGATAAAAGAAGACTTTAATCCCAACGTTTCCTCTGTATTTTGTTAGAATATTAGAAGTTATCTCTAATATGATTAACCTTCCTGAAATATGCATTTGAGGAGTGTTTTTTTGGGGGGGGGGGGGGGGGGGGGGGAGTTCTGCTGGAGACACTTCCAGATGAGGGAAGAAATCCTGATATACTTGCTACGTGCACGGGGGTACAAGCCCCCACTATCCCAGTGTCCAGGTCCATTGGTTATGCTAGTATGCATGCATGCAAGTCCTTTAGTTGATCTCTTACCCCTTCCCTCCCCCTGCCTTCCCTCTGAGGTTGGACAGTCTGTTCCGTGTTTGAGGATTGTTCTGATTGAGACAGGTCATTGTAGTTAAATTGTAAAAGATGTAATTTAAAAATGTCAAAACCCTTTCATTCAATTGCTGTTAATATTTTAAGATAGCATAAGGTGTTTTAAGTTATGTTTTTCTTCTACAGTTTGAATATACTGAGTCTGAAACTTTAAAAATTAGGCAGACTTACTGCCTTTTGAGTAATTTACATATGTTAACATTTTATTTTAATGTGAATATGAAAATAGAGTTTTAAAATATATATAATCTTAGATTTCATTAAAGGGCCATCACAAATTTTGGTATGGTGATATTATGAGTTCTACAAGGAACTCACTTGGTTAAGTGTTGATAATTGTAAAATGTTACACCAAGAGAATTTTGTTCTGTAATGACCATTTTTCACATTAGGTACCAAATTATCACTGATTTCCAGATTTGATTAAGCAGTCTTCAATGACTTTTCAGTTATTAGACATTGGAATTTTGTTATATTCTAATTATTGTACTGCTGGTCATAATTTGTATTTTGCTAGATGTTTTCCCATGCTAGATGTTATGCTAGGTGGTTTTCTTCTTTCTGATCTAAAATTCTTTTTTCTTTTAAACTATGTTTTTACTGATTTTAGAGAGAGAGGAAGGGAGAAGGATAGAGAGATAGAAACATCAATTGGCTGCTTCCTGCACACCTGCACTGGGAATGGAGCCAGCAACCTGGCAGGGAATCCAACTGGTGACCTCTTGGTTTTTGGTTCAATGCTTAACCACTGAGCCATACGGTCCAGGCACCCTAATCTAAAATTCAAGTCTTTTAGCAATATGTAAAGTGATTCTTTTATAAGACATACAGAAAGAAGGCCTTTAGGGGAGCCTTTTGGCTTTATTCTCTTTGGATTTCTTTTTTGGAAAACTCATTTAAATTATGCACCCAGCCTCATACTTTTCAGAAACTTTTTTTTTTTTTTTAATTAAGATTCTGAGACCATTCGACTGCCTTATGAAGAAGGGGAATTGCTTGAATACTTGGATGCAGAAGAATTGCCTCCTATCTTGGTTGATCTCCTAGAAAAATCTCAGGTGCAAATTTTTTCTTTTAAACATGTCCTTAGATTTGTCAACTATATTGTTTTATAATAAAGGATATTTATTTGTATTCTCAACAGTGCTTAGGACATGAAATGAAACATTATCAGAAACAATATGAAAATTGTTTTATTGTAGGTTATGTATCCTTTAGGCTGCACTGAAATGTGTAGATTTAGTTGATTCTTTTATAATTGCTATGAAAATTAGCTCATCCCCAGGAAATCTCCCTTTAACTTCAATCAATAAATTATGGAAGAAACCACTTATTCCCTTGGCTTCACCCCAGCCATACTCTGTTCTTTACTGAGGAAAAGGAAGTCATCAGATGAGTGCTAGGAGATGTTTTCTTCCTAGCACTAGTTTACCAGCATCTCCACATCTCTGTCGCCACTTTCTGCCTGCCTTCCTATTAAAATGGATGAAGTAAGCTGTTCCTAAGGTATCTCCTCCTTTCTTTTTTTTCTGGATCCTCCTCCTTTTCAGTGGCTTGCTACTATGACCTTTCTCCCTCTCTTCTATCATCTGTTCTCTCTCTTTTAGTTAAAAAAATACGGGCATATTAATATCTCTTAACTTGAAAAATCCTTTTCTGTTTGCATCTGAATTGGTCTCTTTGCAAAACTCAGTGCAGATGACTACTTCGTTCTTGAAATAACTTTCTTTTGGCTTCTGAGACATCGTATTTATGGTTGTCCTCTTTTCTCTGTAATGCTTCAGTCATCTTTGCTGTTAACTCTTCCACCCATAAATATGTTTGATTTTGGGTTCATCCCTAGGCACTGTATTCTTTAGTAACACTCTATCCCTGGTTGATTTCAACCAGCTTTATGAAATTTAAAATGACATTTAATTTCTTGCTTATCTCTCTCACAGTTACCTTTCCAAACACATATTTACTAGGATATGTAATAAGCTCTTTAACTTAACATGACAAAACACAATTTTTTATTTTTACCTCCTAAACCAGTTTTGTTGCCAGTATTTTGAATCTTTAAAAGGTTACCCTACTCTTACCTTTTACACCTAGCTCATATGCAAATATCAACTGTATCTTGAAAATATATGGTCATGACCTGCTGTAGTTACTTTGCTAAACTTCCTGCTTTCATTTTAGAACCCGAGAAATAAATTTTCCAGAGATTAAGCTTACAAAACAAAAATAAAAAGAGGTCCCTGCTTGAAGTTCTGTAGTGTCCTCTCAATGCACAAAACCCCTGCCTTCCTCTTCACATTCTGATTCTCATTTCCACTCATTACACTCCAGTCATATGTGCCTTCTTTCCAAACTAAAACACCAAGCTTATTGATCTGCTATTCTTTCTGTCTGGATTGATCTATTCCACATACCTGGCATTGTTGCGATTCAGATCTCAGCTGAAACATCACTTCTTCAGAGAGGTGTTTATCTCGGCAAATAATCTAAATTAGCCCCTTCCTGTTTTATTTCCTTTGTAGTATTCATCACTGTCTAAAATTATTTTGTTTATTTTTTTACATGTTTATTACCTGTCTTCCCACACTGAGAACAAGTGTTGTCTCACCACTGTATCTGTGAAGCTTTTTGGATAGTGCCTGGCACATAGTTCATATTGTAGTAACTCAATAAATATTTGTTAAAAAGCATGCTAATGGATAGCATGGAGGTCACAGTTCCCACTTAAAATCTGAATGGGAGAAAAAACAATACTGTGAGTGATTGACAAGTGATAATTAGGAAGATTTAAGCCATAAAGGCTCTTTGGACTTAGAAAAGGACTAGGAAACTATTTTTAACAGAAGATTATTTTAATTTATAGTTAGCTTTCTTCCTTTTATTAATAAAGACTGCTGGAAATTTTAGCAAATAATAGCAGTTTTATCTCTAAGCTGAAACTCTAACAGGGTTGATGGACAATAACTGAAAAAATTAGCAAAGTATAACTGAGCCAATTAACAGCAATTTCAATGATCTGTAATATAAAATACAAATACCAAAAGTCAGTCTATAACTAGAAATCATTTTAAATTGCTTCTTGGGTCAGAGTAATGAACAGGAAATAGTTCCTTTTAAAGGGTTTATGTATGTAGTGGTAAACCCTCCAAGAAAAGCTGTTTAGGAGTTTGTGAGGGAACAGAAACACTGCATGAGAGTGTAAAGAATCTGAAACATTCAATATAAACCCACTTATTTAGGCTTTTGAAAAAGGACATTTACTCAAGTATTTTCACTTAAAACAGGTTAATATTTTTCATTGTGGATGTGTCATAGCAGAAATACGTGACTACAGGCAGTCCAGCAATATGAAATCTCCAGGTTACCAAAGTAAGCACATTCTCTTACGTCCAACAATGCAGGTAAGGCATGTTTAAGAAGTATTTAGAATTTATTTGAAAAATTTTTATTAAATGTCTTCATATGTTTGTATGCCTATACATTAATGTGTTTTTAAATTTTTTATTTGTTCTAGACTTTAATCTGTGATGTACATTCAATAACAAGTGATAACCATAAATGGACCCAGGTTAGTTGTGTTGTTTTTAAATCCCATACAGGCAAAATAGAGGATAAAACGACACTTATCATTAAGTTAAGCGAAGGACACTTTCTGCTCATAATTTTATTCATGTGTAAAGTTTGGGATTTCTTTTTTTTAAAATATATTTTATTTATTTTTTATAGAGAGGAAGGGAAATAGATAGAGAGTTAGAAACATCGATGAGAGAGAAACATCGATCAGCCGCCTCCTGCACACCTCCCACTGGGGATGTGCCCGCAACCAAGGTACATGCCCTTGACCGGAATCGAACCCGGGACCCCTCAGTCCGCAGGCCGATGCTCTATCCACTGAGTCAAACCAGTCAGGGCAAGTTTGGGATTTCTTTATAAGCTTTAGAAGTTAAGGGTCTCTGTATGTGTAGTAATCCCTCAAGGAACTAAAACACTTTAATCCCATTTGCTTTAGGACATGGTGAAGTAGGGTCAGGTTGACTTTATCTGCCCAGTGTGAAACTTAGTTTTTTAAACCCCTCTCAAAGAAAAGAAAGATGTTTTGTTTGTACAATGGTTACAAATAGATACTGATTTTCTATCATCTAGGATTCTAAAACAGGCTTAGTCTGTCTTTACCATTCATAGTGGGATACTCTTGCTCATGAGAATAGCCAGTACCCCTCCAGTGCTGGCTCAATATATCTGAAAGGCCCACTCACAGGAATGTTCACTTATTTCTCTGCTGCTATAGAGAGAAATAGTTACTAAACCAATGAAAATATCAATAATTAGAATTATTTAATCTATGAAAATATTATTATAAAGTAAGATTCAGTTTATCAATAACTATCAAGTGTTGTGTTTTACTTTGGGACTATAATCTTTCTGTTTAAAACACAACATTAAAAACTATTAAAAGAATATTTAAAAACAAACTCGTTGGGTACCACTGGAGGTTGTAAGGGCATTAGTTTCTTACACTGAAAATTGATAAATCGACAAACTATAGTATTTCTTCTGTTTTTCTGTAGGATTTATACATTAGATAGCCCAATAGTAACTAAAGGTAATTCTTTAGAACAATTTCAGCTAATAGCTACAAAAGAAATGATAGACTTAAAAATATCATCACTTGGCTATCTTAATGAAATAATGAATTTAGACAGCTGAAATTTTCAGATTTGAAAAAAACCATTAGATTATAGGTTAATAGGAATTTTTATAATGGAGAGATCTGACTAAACGCACTGGTCTAAAAGTAGGATAATCATTGTGTATGTTCTGGTGTGATGCCTGAAAAGGTACACAATAATATCAATGAACTCTTGTCTAAAAATATAGAACCTGAATTAAGTCTCTCCTCTACATCTAACAGTTATAGAGAATTTAGGGAATAAAAGAAAGAAATGGCAAGATGAAGCAACCAGCCAGATTCAGTTAAAAATGGTATCATGGGGAAGGAAGTGGTCAAATCCAACAAATTAGTTGTGTTAGAAAAGAAAAAATGTTATCATTACAGAATAAAAGAAAGATGTTTAAGAGAGAAAAACTAAAATACAATGTGTAGTCTTATTTGAGTTCAAATTCAAACAAACCAATTAAAAATACATTTTTGAGATAATGGGAATTTTGTAGACTGGTTATTAGTAGTCCTTATCAGTTAACAGTGCACGCTGAAATGTTTTCAGGTGAAATAATAGTGTCAGATGTATTTTAAATTATTCCAGCAAAACAAAAACAAAAAAATTTAAAGGGCCAAGTAGTTAAATAAAATTGGGTGTTGGTACATCCTATATACTCTTTGGAATTATGTCTGTAGGGTTTACATAGTATTAGTGTAGTCATCTATACTAATAAAAGGGTAATATGCTAATTAGACTGGGAGACCTTCCGGACAAAGCCATGGTGGCAGGGCCGAGGCAGAGGCGGTTAGGGGTGATCAGGCCAGGAGGGGAGGGCAGTTGGGGGCAAGCAGACCAGCAGGGGGGACCAGTTGGGGGTGAGCATGTTGGCGGGAGGGTGGCAGTTGGGGGCGAGCAGGCCGGCAGGGGGTGGGGCGGAGTTGGGAGCAAGGAGGCTGGCAGGGAGAGTGATTAAGGGCAATCAAGCAGGCAGGCAGGTGAGCATTTGGGAGCCAGTGGTCTCGGATTGTGAGAGGGCTGGCCAGTCGGACAGCCCCTGAGGGGTCTCAGATAGGAGAGAGTGCAGGCTGGGCTGAAAGACACCCCCAACTCCATGCATGAATTTTGTGTACCGGGCCACTCGTCTAATAAAAGAGAAACATGGTGATTAGCCGTACGTCCGCTACCCTTCCCATTGGCTAATCAGCGAGATATGCAAATTAACTGCCAGCCAAGATGGCGGCCGGCAGCCAGGCTACTGACACGAACAGGAGGCTTGCTTGCTTCAGTGACGGAGGACTCCAACGTTCCCTGCCTGCTGCTGCTAGGCTCTGAGCTGCTAAGAAACATTGTTACAAATATAGAAGCTAAACAAAAGACAAGAAACCTGTTTTCAGTCAGCCAGGATCTCAGAGCTGGAGTCACAACAAAGTTTCAAATACAGAAAATAAACAAAGCCAGAAACTTGCTTTCAGCAGCAAGGTCTCACAGCTAAAGCCGGCTCTCAGCTCCAGTGTCAGCCATAAATCCAAGAATTGAAAAAAAA